TTACCATATAGAAACACCTCAATCAAACCAGATATTCAAGGATAGTAAAATAATTACGTAACTATTCATATATTAAGCCTGTTAGCTTAAAATATAAAATCTTAAATTTGCGGACATGTGCAGATTTGGAATGTCAGAGGACATTTCATTTTTATTTTTATTTTTTTTGGGAAAAATGGATCGGAACCTAGAATATTTGATTGTACAAAGATATACTGGTCGATGTTACTAGAGTATATAACATTAAAAGTTATGCAAAACCAAAAGATCTTAGTGAATTTAGTACTTAGTAGGTGGAACTCCGGCAATTTTGTCAAAAGCCATCTAATAAGGGAAACTGAAAGTTGCAGTACAAAGAGTGTAGGCCCTGCTTGTTAATAAGATATCTGGTCACATACATTTTTTTTAACTCAAAATCTAACTCAATCAAGGTAATTAAATAATGTCAATCAATCATCTTCACACATCACTTCAACTTTCACTATTCATCCCACATAATTTTAACTACACATCACTTCCAATCACCTCTCTCCTACTTTTACATCAAATCAAATTTAGTCATTATATGTTAAATATTATTTTCATACGAACTCCAACTCCCACTCAAACCTAACTCAATCAACTTTTTTCAAAATTAACACGGGTTAACCAACAAGTCGAATAAAAAAAAATTAACTTATATCCAATCACCCCTTAATGTCTAAAAGGTTTAAAGTACTTTGATGAAAATAAATAGTGGTCATACAATACATTAACTTATTCTTAGAGAAATATCACAAATTAGTGTCAATTTTGGATATGTAACGTCTTTTGATAGGCTTTTTAACAGCAAAGGTCAAATATCGAAACATACGATTTCTTATTTGACAATATGCATACATTTCATTTTAACAGCCGCCTCTCCCTTGTTCATGGAAGTTTCTATTTATAGTAATAAACTCAACATACCTTTTCCAAGGCAAGCGGGAAAATGACATCAAGGAAAAGGATTTTGTACGCCCATATGATTCGCTGTTTCTCTTTCTGTTTATATAGCCATGTTGGCCACTTATATGTGATCAACTCGTACTCAAAACCATAATGTTTCGCCATATGTGGAATTACATCCTGCCACAAAAGCATTGAACAGTTGCAGAATGGAAATAATGAAGATTCTTTGTCCATTCTAAATGGGCAAACAGTATAGCATTAAGAAAGACAGATCTACAAAAAATGGTCAAGGACAAGTATAAAACCTTGAATTGAGGAGAGAGAGAATTCTTTATAAACCAAAACTTGACTGGTCGGTCCGTATCTTTCAGAACACTTAAAATCATAATTTTCAGAAACCGTTTATACCTGCAGAGGAATGATTTGTGATGGAGTTAGATTGATAGAAACAAGCAACTAAAGTAACTGCAATGGTAAAAACTGACATACTCAATGGCCCCAGTAAACAACTGTACTGCAGCTATGTAAG